CTTATATTTTATGAGAAATTCTACTTGATAATCTCTGGTTTGAAAACATTGTAACGTTACCTTCTATAAAGGAGGGTCTTGCGATTATTTAAAGAAGTATCGTTAATATTTGATGAAAATATCAGGTGTGTAAACTATAGTCAGTTTTAATTATTGTAATACATAGAATATAAACAATAATATACTTTATTGTTGATATTTTATATATTATTGGATTCGTGTATATTCTTATTCTTATTATAATATATTTGATGAATAAAGTATCAGGTTTGTAGAATATAGTCAATTTCAAAGATTGTATAAATTCAAAAGGACAAATTGTATTACTAGTTAAGTTTTATAAGAAATTCTATTTGATTATTACTACCTTGAATAAATATTGTAACGTTACCTTATGTAAAGTTTTTGTAATTATTGAAAGAGTATGGTTAATATTTGGCGAATACAATACCAGGTGTGTAATATATATTCAGTTTCAATGATTGTATACCTTTAAATAGACTACTTGTATTACTAGTTATGTTTTTTTAAGAAATTGTACTTGATAATCACTGTTTTGAAAACGTTGTAACGTTACATTCTATAAAGCAGGGTCTTGTGATTATTTAAAGAAGTATCGTTAATATTTGATGAAAATATCAGATGTGTAAACTATAGTCAGTTTTAATTATTGTAATATATAGAATATAAACAATAATATACTTTATTGTTGATATTTTATATATTATTGCATTCATATATATTCTTATACGCTTTTCCATATTTCTTGTTGTTATAAATTTATAAACTATCGCAGTCCAACAATAACAATTGTTTTTGCTTAAAATGATGTTTGAATCTATCAAAAATATGAGTTCAAAGTGTAATTCTCACACACGATTCTTCATCTGGCAAAACACAATGGAACTAATAAAAACTATCTTCAATGAATTAATCACAAGTAAAATCGATCGAATTAGGAAATATTCATGTTCTAATTAATTTGTAATTCTAAAATTGATTAAACCTGAACTTTCGATCTCTTCCAGTAATTTATACATTCTTTGACCTAAAGTACTTGAAAGTAACAATTGTTTTGCTCAAAAAGATGTTTGAAGTTCTCAAAATATTAGTCTTAAGTGTAATTCTCACACACGATTCTTTATTTGGCAAAACACAATGGAACTAATAAAAACTATCTTCAATGAATCAATCACAAGTAAAATAGATCGAATTAGGAAATATTCATGTTCTAATTAATTTGTAATTCTAAAATAAATTAAAAGTCTTTCGAACCTTTTGTTCAATATATAATAATTCCAAAGGCAATGGCTGTAATCCGTTCGCATTGCTGGTGAAATAGTATTGTTACAATACTCACAGCCACTTGATGCATTTGCCACCTTGGACCAGCAACAGGAACAACAGGAACCCAGCTTTGGCACCGCTTCTCTTCGTTACCACCATTTTTGCTCACTTTACATTCTAGAAAATCGTGATTCCCTCCCGCGTTTACGCATAAGGTCTTCCGTTTCAACGATTGTTCCAGTCGATTTCGCCGATCAACCGCGTTCTTTCAGGGACCACTGTGTTTCTCTCGACGATAGGCGGATCGTTTCACGGGCGATCGTCGTACCCTCGACGACTTCATTTTTACCAAATCCAAGAAAAGAGTAACCACACTAACCAACCTTCTCAACGATCAACCCGAATCTTCGACTCCCAACATACGAATCGACCGTTTCGTCGTTAAAAACACGAGGCGAGCCAAATTCCAAACCAGCCTACACCGCGAGTATCAACATCGCCGATGTATCTACGCGTAAATTTCCCGACGAGATATCCTCCACGTGTACGCTTTACTTTTTTAATCGTCACCGCGCCGATGAAGCAGCTGGCTAGAAATCACTGGTGAAATCGTTGCATCCGATTAGTTCCAGCCGAACGACGAACGTTGAAGTTCAAACTTTTTCAAACCTTCCCGGACGAAAGCGTGGCGTGCGCCCATCCGGTGGAATGAAATTTCACAGAATCGAGACGATACATCGGAATCGGAAACGCACGTGAACGATACGTAGATCACTGTCACTATTGCGATTAATCTTTGATCAATCGTAACCGGAACGCGTCAACGCACCCTACCTTGAATGATCTGCGAACGATACGGTTTCGCTATTGGGGAAGTTCCTTCGCACCGTCCCGTTCGGCAGGGAGTCTGCGTGGTTACAGGTGTCCGTCGAGCCGTCCTGCAGGATTTGCCGGTCGTCGTGGAGGTGGAATCCTCCTACTACTACTCTATTTCCTCCTACTTCACCTACTCGTTTTTCGTACGGCGAGGAACCGGCCACGGGGATGCCTATCAGAATGTGAACACGATCAAACGACGAAGGGAGGAGTCGGCGATCTGGGATCGTGCGAGGTAAGAACCGATTGTATCGATAGTCGAAAGGGTCTCGATGGAGGAGAACCTGGCACCCTGGCTTTCTTCGGCTGATTAAACAGAAGTTAGCCAGTTTCTTGGACTATTTAGGGACGCTTGCAAGAAGGCGTGCGTTTAGTTCTTTTTAAAATTATGGTTACTCCAAGGGAAGGAAAACTTTTGATCTGTTGGAGAACTGTTTACTAGAGAATCTCTTAATTAGGAGAAAAGAGTCATCGTATGGCAACATAGTGTTTTATTCTATTAGATTATATGTATATTAGTACACTTTTATGTGTACAATTTTTGTAATTATTTAAAGAATATGGTTAATATTTTCTGTATACGATACCAGGTGTGTAGTATATAATCAATTTCAAAGATTGTATACCTTTAAATAGACTACTTGTATTAATAGATATGTTTTAAAAGAAATTGAACTTGATAATCACTGATTTAAAATATTGCAATGTTTCCTCTGATGTGCAGAGTTTTTGAAATTATTTAATGAATGTCGTTGATATTTGATGAATAAAGTATTAGGTTTATAGAATATATTGAAATTTCAAAGATCGTATAAATTCAAATCGATTAGTTGTATTACTAGTTGTTTTATAAGAAATTCTATTTGATAATTACTACTTTGCATAAATATTGTAACGTTACCTTATGTCAAGTTTTTGTAATTATTTAAATAGTATGGTTAATATTTGGCGAATACAATACCAGGTGTGTAATATATATTCAGTTTCAATGATTGTATACCTTTAAATAGACTACTTGTATTACTAGTTATGTTTTTTAAGAAATTGTACTTGATAATCACTGTTTTGAAAACGTTGTAACGTTACATTCTATAAAGCAGGGTCTTGTGATTATTTAAAGAAGTATCGTTAATATTTGATGAAAATATCAGGTGTGCAAAATATAGTGAGTTTTAATCATTGTAATATATAGAATATCAATAATAAAGTACATTATTTTATATATTTTTATATATTTTATATATTATTGCAGCCGTGTATATTCTTATTCCTATTATATTTGATGAATAAAGTATCAGTTTTGTAGAATATAGTTAATTTCAAAGATTGTATAAATTCAAAAGGACAAATTGTATTACTAGTTAAGTTTTATAAGAAATTCTATTTGATAATTACTACTTTGAATTAATATTGTAACGTTACCATATGTAAACTTTTGAAATTATTTGAAGAACTTCATTAATATTTCATGAATAAAGTGTAAGGTGTGGCGTATATATATATATATATATATATATAGATATATATAGATATATTATGCATAATTAATATATATATATATATATATATCTTATATATATATATATATAATTATGCATAATATATGCATATATATCTGCATATATATGATATATATATATAATTTTAATAATTGTATAAATTCAAAAAGGGTAACTTTTATTTTGTAATTATATATTATAAGACATTCTATTTGGCAGTCACTGTTTTAAAAACGTTTCAACATTACCTTTCATATGTAAAGAACAAAATAAAAATTCTCTAGTAAACTTTTCATATGTAAGAGCCTATAAAAAGAAGTTTTAATTATTTGAAAAACCTCGTTAGTATTTGACGAATACGATACCAGGTATGACCAGAATATAGTCACTATTAGTGATTCTTTTTTTTGTGAATTTTATTTGATGAAAAATGATAAATGTGCACATGTGTTTTCAATTATCCTTTCGAGTAAGTAGTATTCCTGTTTATAATCGTGTGTCTCATTGTGAACTTTGTGAAAGTCTATTGTAAAGAGTAAATAATTTGTCCATTGTATAACTACCTACGTTAAGAATTCGCTATATTTGTGAAGAACGTGAAGAGCAAGTATACTCTCTACGAATGAAATCTTTTCGTTAATGATTTACCAATAGTATTCAACGGCTCAAATAATACTTAAATAATAATATCGCAAAATGATATTGGCATGATAATGGTGATTAACGTTTTCTTTCATACGAGTTCAATAATGAAAAATATTACTAATAACGACATATATAAAAATTCTGAAGAACATCTCGAATGGAATCAACATTTAATATTACATTATTTTCAGCCAGTAATTTATTTTCAGTTAGTGTCTTTTTATCGTCCCTTGGAATTTTTTAAAATGTATAACCTTATTATTATATATAGACATCTTAAAAAATAATTCACGTGAAGCATACTTTATATAAATAGTATAAACATGTTTTTTAAATATATTAGTAGTTTTAAAATATGTCAACATAACATTGGTAGTTGGCTATTTATTAACATAACATTATACTTTAGTCAATTAGATTTAATCCTACAATGATACATTCTAAAGAAGATCTTTTTCATTATTCATTTATCATTATTTTTTTATTTTTTTCTTATCAATTCACTTTTAATTTTATTAAGTGAAATATCACACAATCTATAAACATAGAAATTTAAAAAAAGAAGAAAGTTTTTCTTCTCGGAAGACAGAAGAAATAAAAAATTGAAGAATATTAAAAACCTTGTCATGCATTAATTTATCTCATTTGCATCTTTTATCATCTCTATCAGTGATCAATTTTCTAGAGTTTCTTATCAAGCATTTAGGCTATGTACAGTAAACCAACTTCTTTTCGTCTAAAGAAAAGTGCCTTTAATGTTGCACTGATAATCGTTTTTAATTGTTTCATTGTAAAACAAGACTCAGAGACTTTACAAATAACTAAGTATTTTCATTTTACCAACCAATGAGATACACCCTTTACCTTACACACTACAACATCTTCAGTCTCAAGACGCAAACCACTCAATTTTCTTTAGAAATTTTTTTTTGAATCGTTAGAAAGGCATGAATGCATCTCATTAATCAGGTATTAAAACAAGTTACTCTTTGAGAACACAGTAAACAGTTGCAAAACGTTGAGATATTAATGCGTACAGTTTGCCAATTAATTTCGAGGGGAAAGCGGGATCGTATATTATTCCAGAACCCGGAATTACTATTTCGAATATGAACGTATTACAAATGTAACGTATGAACAGTATGAAAGTATGCATATACAGTTATACATAAAAGTATCCGACACCCTGTACGAATGGTTTACGTGTTAAAAGAATGCTTAATACGAAATTATCAAATTTCATTCCCTTTAATACAAACTTGCAATTATTTAAAATATTGAAGTAAAGAAAATAGTTTTTTTAACAATCGGAAAATTCTTGTTGTTAAGTACGAATTTTAATATTTAATCTTGCATTTAAAAAAATTGGAACCAACAAGGTTTTCAATGATATAATATAATATAGACAAATTATATATATGGTGTGCGTATATATTAAACATAATGTATTTACGATAATAACAATATATATGGGGGAAGTATTCCTTAATGCAAGCATAATTACTGGGTTTCTTGTATTTTATTTTAACCTTCAAAAGTAAGTATTTTATAAAAATAATTATTCATTAATATTCTGTTACAAAGTACTATCTTTTATATAACTACCATAATATTGGTAATAACAAAATAAAAATTCTCTAGTAATCCTTAAAATGAAATTATATAATATATTATTAATATATTATGAAATTATATAAATTATATATATTATATATGTATATATATTTAATTTTAAAGTTTTACATAGAATATTTGTATTGTCATTACCGATATTACTCATTATCGTAACTATATAAAAGAAATTTTACCTATTATCTATTTACAATACATGTATAATAATAAGTACATAATAAATATGTCGTATGCCAATATGTACAAATTAATTATATTATGCAAACGAATACCGATATTCTTTCTCCTATATTTATAAAAATACTTAAATAAAATACGTACAATTATTTGTCTGCATTAAAGTAAATTACAAATGTTAAATTACGAAAGTTATTCGAACCCTAAAATTGATTAAACGTGTAAGGTATGGTCTGTGCGCGTGATGGTCGGATATACTTTTGTGGTTAACTGTATCTAAGAGGTCTAAAGAGCCGGTTCATTCTCTGCCAAGCGCCCAGTTCGTATTTAACGTCAAATTAGTGCAGCGTTTTTCATTTTTTTGATATTTACGTTAAACATTAGCAAGTGGTTCGAAATAATAGTGAAAGTAAATTATATCCGATATCGTTTTGGTAATTTACAGTGGTAGTTGGAACAATTCGACTCGGAATAATAAACGACGACCTCCCTCTTCATCTTGGTTCCTTTGGACTCTCTTTACTCTCTCTCGTTCTCTCGTTCTCTCTCTCTCTCTCTCTCTCTCTCTCTCTCTCTCTCTCTCTCTCT